GTCTATCACGTGTCTGGCACATATTAGGTGTTCATTAAATAGACACCAAGTGAATCACTGTTTTTAAACATAAGAATGACATAACCAGATAGTATTTTAGAAAAATAACTGGTGGGCACCTGGAAGGCACAGCTGGTTAAGCATCTGACGTTGGCTCAGGTCATGATCTCACAGTTCAGGTGTTCAAGTCCCACGTCGGGTGAGCTCAAGCCCTGCTTCTGGTGAGCCTTGCCTCTATCTCTCTCTCTCCCTCTTTCTCTCTCTCTCTCTCTGCCCCTCATGGGATTCTCTCCACCCCCACCCCCACCCCCACCTCTGCTCCTTTGCTCACTTGTGTCCTCTCTCTCTCAAAACAAACAAACAAACAAACAAACAAACAAACAAACAAACAAAACAACCGGCAACTGATTGGAAGGGCCTGGGACGTGAGATAGAAAAGGGGCAGGGAGAAAAGAGGCAGCTAGTTAGTAGATTATTGACAGTCTAGGTGAGAGTCAGTAGGCCAGGTATACAATGTTCTTTTTTTTTTTTTTTTTTAATTTTTTTTTCAACGTTTATTTATTTTTGGGACAGAGAGAGAGACAGAGCATGAACGGGGGAGGGGCAGAGAGAGAGAGGGAGACACAGAATCGGAAACAGGCTCCAGGCCCTGAGCCATCAGCCCAGAGCCCGATGCGGGGCTCGAACTCCCGGACCGCGAGATCGTGACCTGGCTGAAGTCGGACGCTTAACCGACTGCGCCACCCAGGCGCCCCAGGTATACAATGTTCTTAAATATAATCAATAGGAACTTTGTTGAATGAATTTAAATAATTGAATGCTAATAACAACTACATTTTCTTAAAAAATATTAGTATGCAGGGGTGTTTGATAAATATTTATAAGTTTAATGTAGGAAAGCCATTAATTCTACATCATCTAATCTGCTTTGTTGGCTGAGTGATCAATCAATATGCAATGACTATGATACTAAAACTGCTGTAACTGATTCATTTACTTTGGAGAATAATATTCTCTACAATGTACGCAAAATAGTTAATCCTTTCTTGCAGTGATGCCTGGTTTACATAATTCTTTTTTTATTTTTTGAGAGAGAGAGTGTGAGTAGGGGAGAGGCAGAGGGAGAAGGAGAGAGAGAATCCTAAGCAGGCTCCATGCCCAGCCTGGAGCTTGAGGTGGGGCTCGATGGATCTCAGGACTGTGAGATCATAACTCCAGCCAAAATCAAGAGTGGATACTTAACCGACTGAGCCACCCAGGTGCCCCTACAAAATTCTTTAGGACATGATATCAGAGTCATAAAATTGCAAAAAGTGAGAATGCAAAGGGATTATTTGTGAAAATATTAAGGATGTAGAGGAAATCCTTAAAATAAAAAAGAATATTCAATGGGACTAGAGAGCGAGTAAGAAAGAGAGCCCAGGCTGAGGAAGAGTAAGAGCTGAGGAATAAAAATTAACAAGAATATGAGAAAAGATAGGAGACAAGACAAAGAAAGTGAAAGAGGTCAGGGTTGAGAGACATTCAGAGAGGACTCAAGTAGAACTAAATATTGGTCTTACATAAAAAAGGACATTCAAGTAACAGGCTACTGGGGATGCAAACAAACAATCAGACCGAGGTAGCTTTAAATCCTGAGCCTTGCCTTCCTCGTTGTTAAAAAGGGGAAAACAGTAGCAACATTCCATGGTGGTTGTGAGGATTAAGTGAGATGATAAACATGAAGTACAAGGCACATGATAAAGTATGTGACACAGATAGCTATTAATTTCATCAGGAAGAAAGCAAAGGGCTGTTTCTGTAAGTAAAAACAACTTAGGAAAGGTTAACCTGAAGTAATAGTCAGAAAGGGGAATGTGCTTGAAATTTTGGAAACAGAATAGAATCACACTAAATCATGCTATTAACTTCTTATTCCTTCATGCCCCTTGCTGTACCAGGTTGGATAGATATTTGATAATAATCCCAACAAAGTCAAGCATTTTAATAAAAATTTTAAAACAGAACAACAACAAAAAAAGGCTAAAAATGGTTATAAGAAATTAGGGCTGCCTACCTAATTTGTGGAGTCTAGTGCAAAATGAAAATGCAAGATCCTTTGTTTAAGAATTTCAAAGGTGACACAGAGCATTAAACCAAATGCAAGGCCGTTCTGAGCACAGAGCCCTCAGTGACTGCATAGGTCACAAAGCCATGAAGCCAGCCCTGCAAGGGATAAACCATGCTGGTAAAGTTTATGTCTAAGGCTCTAAAAGTAGTCAGGTGGTAAAGTTTATGTCTAAGGCTCTAAAAGTACAAGCCTGGGGCCCTTGGCAATGAGAATATTCAAGAAGTGTGTCAATTAACTGTGAAGGTTCTGGGGTCTTGAGATACATGGCATAGAGGCACTGGTCACAGTGCCAGCTGGCCCTGAAATGCTGGTTGATGGCCAACTGACATTAGAAGAGTTGGCACGAACTGCTTCTGGGACCTGCATGAAATATAATCATTTCCTGCCTCCTTGATTTTTCACATTTTAGTTAATCAAGTTACCACTTGAGGACATAAAGTAAGCCAGCGATTTAATTTTTAAAAAACCATTCTAGGACACGTAAAACTTTCATTCTGGACCACCTGAGGTGGGTACATTTGCAGCTAATACGAAGGAGGTGGCATTTCTCCCCAAATCCAACATCTCCTAATGTGGATACTAAAGGCAGGCTTAGCCGTGGGAAAACTGGTCACATTTTAAGGGGTAAGTTTTTAGCATTCCCACTTTTCATCTCCCTTTAACTGTCCTCCTAGTGAATGCTAACAAAAATAAAAGCCCTTTTAGAAAATGCACCGTAAATAGTTTCAACAGTTTCAATCTACCAGAGACAAAAGATAAAGACAGCAAGCCCACTCGGGCATTGTTATTTCCCTACTGTTTTCATTTTCCTATCTTTTTCCTGTTCCTGTTCTTCTGCTGTTTTATCTTCTACTTCACCTCCTTATTTACTTCAATCCAATGTAAATGTAATACCTGATTACAAAGTACCTCATTGTGTCACCACAAAATTGATTAGACAGTGAACCAATCTTGTTTCCAATCCATTTACAGTTGCTTATTTCACCTCTTTGGGTGGAATATGAAAAAGCAGCATCATTATTATAGTGACATTTGGCAATTACTTGTCTTGCTTCTACTTAGAATTGTATCTAAAACTAAAATGGAACCTAGAGGTGACTCTGCTTAAGCACCTAATTTCACAGACTAAAAACAACTTCAGAGATAGACCTTTCCAGGGTAAACCCAGGCACAGGTGGAGAGCACGACTGGCATACAAACCAGTAAACTGTACCACAGGACTAAACAGAAAGAGCACAGAGCTGTCAACTAGCAGGTACTCAATAAGTATGTGTCCAACTGAGTAAAGAAATACAAGAAGACATGAAATTCTAGAAACCTAGGTTCTAATAAATGCTCTGCTAGTAACTAAATATACTAAATGGTTATATAATTAATGATAAATATAAATTATAAAGTAGTAGAGATGTATTATAATAAATTATAAGCAAAGTTATAATTATAATAAAGATAACAAAGATAAAATAATTATATATGAAGATAATAAAAGCATTGATTATAGATAAAGATAAACTGATTAAATGCTGTAACCTTTTACAACCTCTTTTTCATCACCTACAAAATAAAATAATATTGTTTTGACCAAAAGCAGAGTTCCAGGAACAATACTCTTAATACATGTGCTATACATAATTTTTATTAATTATATAACAATCTAACTTTGGTAAGACTGTTGAAAACTTTAAAGGTATTGTATTTGAAGTTATTCTTTTCTGGAGATCCTGAAAACACTGTGGCCTTGAAACTTTGTGTTTTATCCTCAGGGGCGAGTTGGGTGGGAGGGGCGAGTTGGTTTATCCTCAGGGGCGAGAGTTCACGTGAACTGTCTCCCCATACCACTTTGTTAAAGGTGTCCTTCAGGAGTAAAGCATGTGTTTTACAGTGTGATCGGGGAAGGTCTCTGAAAAACAACCCTGTATTATCATTGTGACACTTTTCTCCCAGTTGAGACAGATTCACATTCAACATTTGTCAAATGTCTTCCATTTACAATGGTCTGTATTTGATGTTAGGTTGAACCACACGAAATTGCCCTTCTTGTGGGTCAAGAACAGTCAACGTTGGCAATTTTATATGGCTCAACCTAATACTTTAACGTGTTATCTCCCTTTTCTCTTACAATTATGCTACAAGGTATATGATGTTACCCTCATTTTACAGATGAAGAAGTGAAGGCTCAGAAAAATTAAATTGATTTGCCTAAGGCTCTACAACTTGTTAATAGCAGATTATAGGTAGAAACCTAAGATCTCTGGATTTCAAGTAGGATGGTATTTCTTCTGTACTACAAAACAATACAACAATTTAAAAGACAGTGATTCAACAATGAAATAAAATTGGGTAGGGCATTGGGAAGATTGAGTGGGTTGAGAAGCTCTAAGAGTTCCAAAGAAGTTGAGAAGTAAAGAAGTGAAATAAAATAACAATTTCCTACAAAAATATATCAATTCCCTTCCTCCTGGAGACAATGCTATTGTAACTTCAATAATGTGTGTGCCTTGGGCAGAGAGCACAGGAGACAAGCAACAGCTACCACATGACTTGAGGGTTCCAGGAGGCAGTAAATGATTATAATCTGAGGAAAGGGAGGTAGAGACAGCACTGAGGGGAGAGAAGAGGAAGTGATGAGACTGGGAGGGAGTCAAGAGGATTTTCCTGTCTGTCTGCTAAACTCACTCACAGTGTAGCTCTTGGAAAACTGAAGTTGAGTACAGAAGCAAGTGAGCAAAAAGCAACTGTTAATTGAATAGATTCTGAAAAATGAGGTTATGCCGGATTAATCAGCATCTTTTTGCAATCTGTCCACTAAATCTGATATTTGGGCTGTGCGTTGTTTTCTGTTAATTAAAAATCTTAGTACAACTGCAGGAAAAATGCTTTGTTCTTACAGATATTCCCAGGAGTGTTGGAAGGAGAATGTGCCAGCTAAAAATATCCCATGAATCTGAGGGAGAAATTCACAAAACTGTATGGATCATGATCTTTGACAAACATTTCGGTGCCTTTTGTTCTCTCACACCCAAACTCTGGTCCAGGAAAAATAAAATAAGATAAAATAAAATGTCTTCAGATAGTCATATGTGTCTTCCGTGTGTCTTCTCCATTTCTCTCTCATGATTTAGTGAACACTAATCGCATACAAAACACTATGTGAAGTAATGGAGGAGGGACTAAGAAAGAACCACAACCCTTTTCTGTCTCTTGTTACACAAGAATAAGTTAATTTACATTATGATCGTTGGGCCTTTATGTGTTCTACTTCAAAAGCAGTTTAAATGAGGACTTGGGGGCATGAGTTAGTAGTGTGGTGTGAGGGCAGGAGGAAGAGATGTCCAAACCTAGTTCTTCACATAGGGTCTTTGGATTCCTTATGAGGTCCAAGGATGGGCTTCAAGGAATCCATAAAAGCCTTGAAATCTTGTCTAAAACTGTGTGTGTATTTCGGCGTATACACATGCATTTTTCTAAGAAAATCGATAGTTTTCATCAGAATTATAAAAGGATTGATTACCTTAAAAGGTACCCTATACCCAAAGAAACAGCACTAGAGATTTGGCTCCTGTGATAAGTGGATAAGGATCTGGGAAATCTCTTTAGATTTAGAGGTCCTTCCTGAGATTTTGAGTTCCACCAGCCCATAGACTGCTCCCTCACTAGGTTGGTTTTCTTAAGCAAAGGAAGATTGCTGCTGCTGGTGATACCACTGATTTTGCCCTGTCTGGAGTAGAGGCTTTATGCTCTCCTTATGGCAAAACTCTGCTCTTCGTGAAATAAAATCGTCCCCCGTGCCACTGGGAAATCACCCATCTCTTCACTCTGGGCATGCCAAATATCCAGAAGGGCATTTTCCAAACCCAGCTGGCCAACTTCCTCTTCACCCCCCCCTAGTCTGTTAGGCTAACCCCAAGGTTTACAAAATTACCCACACAGAACAGGAAATGCAAATGTTAAACTGCTCATAACGTTTGGCCATATTTTTCATGTGATTCACATTAAAGCATCTTATGTAAAAGTTGAACAAGCATTGAAAAAAAGTATACTAATTACAATGTAAGTGAATTGTTAAGAATTATAGAAAATTTGAATTCCTTGACTTCTATAGGCCAAGTTTGGAACTTTAACATAAGTGTTTGTTGGTGGTGGTGCTTTTGTTACTCTTTGTTTCCTTTTATTTACATGAAATGAAGTGGGAATAGAGAGGGGAACAAAGGAAAAATGACAGGAAACAGCCATCCACCTCCGCACCAAAATACCAGCAGAAAACCACAGTTATGCTGCCATCTAACAGTATATTCTGTTTAAGAAACTCCCTGATCCCAGAAACAGCCATGTAACTCTAGACTATAATGAAATTACATCCTGCACATGCTCAAAACCATCCTCCATAGCTTCTAATGACATAAATTTTGTTGTTGTTGTTCTTTGCTTTCTTGAACTCTCAGAGGAGATTTTGTTTTAGAAAAAAGCCTATGGCTTTCAGAGAAGGTGGTGATGGTGATGATGATGGACACAGACATGGTAATAGAAGTTTATCAGGACCTCTAGTTTCAGCTGCCATTAATTGGGAGCTGGGACAGAAGTGCCTGACTATTTCTTATCAAAGAGAGGAGAAAGCAGCCACTTTTCTTAAGGAGAACAAATGTCTGTCAGGGTAAATGATTCACGCAGAACACTCAGCCCTTTCCAGTGTGACAGTAGCTAGGCTCACTCTCAATCTGTCATCAAGGGACTGGTCATTTCTAAATCTCTTAAGAGAAAAGATTAAGATGCTCTTAGAATCACATACGTGCATTCAATTCTACTTTGCAAACCTTCAAATGGTGAGTATTCCTTTTTTAATTTTTCCAAGAAAAAGGTTAAATACTAAATAATGATAGTAACATAATAACTTTTGTACGGATATCAAGTTTCAAAAGTATTGCTCACAAAGATCATCTGAGATGAGAATGTAGAATATATTACCAGAAATTGAAAATTGGAGATGTCTTCAAATATTTCTATAATTTTCCCAGATGCTATTCAGGTAGGGTTTGCCCTTGGAAATCAGAGTTTTGATGGTGGTAAATATAACAATGGTTCTATGAGATTCTGGGATCCAGTCACTTGTGAGGTTACCATGTTCTGTAATCCTAGAATCCAAACTCCCAAAGGAGTATAATCAACACTCCATGTAATCTGAGGAATACAATCAAACAGACGTGCTTACTGCACAAAGTAAGCCTGAAAGTCAAACATCCACATTGAGGTAATACAGCTCTCAAAGGGATCAAATGACACCAGAGACAAATGTATCAAGTTGTTGTGGCAACTGATCCAAAGTGTGGTCCAGCTGTTCCCAGTCTGTTTTCCCAACATCAGAGGCTATTCACTCAAGGCAAACCATAAAAATACCTCCTTGCTCATAAAAAAAGACATTCTCTGACTTCTACGCCAGATTGTTCATCTCCTCAGGCCATGGTCTGCCTTTCCCCATTCTTCTGTTCATCAGTGTAGGATCTGGGGAGAAGCCTGCCAACAATTACACTTGGGTTCCCTAATTCAACAGAAAGGCAGGTTACCTCAGAAGAGCAGAGGAACATGTGATTCATCCACCCACAGCCACACACAAACTCAGTTCTCATCTTTTAGGCCCACTGCTTTGGACCAGGTGTTTATACACATCCTGTCGGGGCAAATGCTTTCAAAGTACGTTCAAGGGGAAGCTGATCTATTTCTTTTTTTCTCTATAAAGTAGATTACAAAATACACCTATTAAAAAGAATTGGTGAGGGAAATAGTATAGTGATAGAGTAAGCACTCTTCTCTGTGAACAGACCTCAGTTAAATCTTGGATCATCACTTATTAGCTGTGAGTGCTTAGAAAAGATACCTGCTCTCATTTTGCCTTGTCAGGGCAATACTTCTGAGACTATAATGTGCATATGAAACACCTGGGGACCTTATTAGAATGCAGATTCTGACTTAGTAACTGGCCTGTGTTGAGGCCCAAGAGTCTGCATTTCTAACAACTCCCAGGAGATGCTAATGCTGCTGATCTGGACCACACTTTGAGTAGCAAGGTAGTCAGGTCTTTCAGGGATTTAATTTTATATAAAACAGCTAAAACAACGTTTGGCAGACGGAAGGCTTTCAGTTAGTGCTCTTCCCTTTTATTTTCATCATGCTCACCCCACACAATATATCACACAGAACACTATGTATATAGAGCTTCAATGTCTCCAAGGATTTGCAGTTTGAGACAGCCAAAATGGGATTCTAATAACATAAAATCTTTCATTCTTTTTTTCTAAAATGAAAAGAGACATGGAAAGGAAAAATGGTTCGGCTGGCTGGAAATATTGGAAAGTCCTCCCTAGAAGGTGGCTGTACTTTTGACTGTAGTGACCTTTCTGATAATAAACAATGAAGGAAAGATAAAAGAACTGGAGACATGGGAACAGTGGTCACATCTCCCATTTAGCTTCCAAAAATTTTAATATAACACAGTTTAAAGCTTTTTCATGCCTGTTGCCAAGGAAGGAACTTATTCAGAGACAATAAATATATATATTTTTTACCTCAAAGTAGTATGTATAAAAGTCAAGAGTATGTGTGGAAGAAAACCAGTTTCAAAAAGGCACCATTCCACTCGTGTGCTATGTAGATGAATCATTTTGAAAGATTCTGCAACATATTGAACATTTAGAAATGTGACTTCCATAAAAAAATTGAGCAATCATATGATCGAAAGTTACTAAACACTCCTGATTGTAAGTATTATGCTAAACGCTTTACATGCGTCATCGCATTTATCCTCAGAGCAATCTTCCATGGTGGGTAATTATAGAACATCTAAGACCCACTCACACCTTGGAGATCTTGATCTAGCTGTCCTTTCCACCTGGAACACACTTCCTTAGGGTGTCTGCTTAGCTGACTCCCTCACTTCTTTCATATCTTTGCTCAAATGTCACATTCTTTTTTTTTTATTTTATTAATTTTTTTTT